TTATTATTATTATTATTATTATTATTATTTTAATTATTATCCCGTGGAACAAGAAAGACTTATTACAAAATTCAATTTTATTCAGCAACGAAAAAGGTATGAAAAATCAGAACTGCATCGGCAGGTTCTGTAGACTTTAAATAAACACCTAGGAACTGAAAAAACTTGGTATCTCACCTTCTAATTCTCGCTGGCCGTTGTTGTTGAAAACCTGTTTCTTTTCCATTGAACCTCAAAACAGTTATCTTTTCACGAATACTAATCCAAAACGTTTTCCAAGCAGCTATAAATTTACCTGTTTCCCGTTCTGTCAGTTCTACACCAAGAACAATTCTAGCAATCAACTGCTTAAAATGTTCAGTAAAAAGGAAAAAGCTGTCACCCAATTATTTAATTCACAAGGATTTAAGACCAAAAATTTAACTGCATCTTAAGTTAAGAATTAAATTTGAGAAAAAGGAATGTAATGGTAGGGCTGCAGCTGAAATTTAAAGCTTTTGTGACCTTTAACAAATCTTAGGTTTTAAAAGAGGCATCGATATTAAAGAGTCTGATAATAATAGGTTTGCTGAGTGCATTAATAGTAGTGGCTTTTAACCATTTGGTATATCACTGGTTTCAAATCCATTCCATCAGCAACAAGCATACTATCGTTTTTTGAGCGTTAAGGTACTATAGAAAGAGTAAAAAATTGCATTATTTTCTTCAACAATATCGTTTGATTGCCACTAAGATTTTTTTCTTTTCCTGACTACTTTAAAGCTCATTTTAACTTCTCTTCAAGTCGAAGCGCTTTTTTATTCACTCACAACTTGTAGCAAATGCCAAAAAAAAAAGGTCCTGGATTCGGCATAATATAACGGATTAGTGCGCTCTGGTATTGGCAACCACTTGGGCGCCTTGTCTGCTAAGGCAGTACGTAGCCTTTGCAGTAGTTTATAATAGTGCGCAAGCAACGAAATATAACGATAACTGCCAGCTGAGGACCAAAGTTCACAAGTGTCGTTCGAGAGGCGATGAACGCATGCAATGAATGGTCACAAACTTTAACACCTGCCAGTGAAGACAACGCAACCCATCACTAATTCATTTTTTGTTTCCGAGTATTCTTTTACCTGACCATCGATGACGCTCAGTATGACTTTCACTAATTCTGCACATTCTGAAGAGCGTCAATGTTTTCACTTCCTTAGCGATTACCGGTCATTCAAGAAGCGCTGTTCTTCTCAGCACTTCTACTACTTTTTAGTAACTACTGCAGCAGAGACTCCGCATCGTGATAAATGTGAAGAGTTATGGCGGAAAAAAAAATGCGCTAGTTGTTGCACGCTAACCGCTGCAAGGAAATGCATTAGCACAAACCAAAGACAAGCCTTAACATTTTACTAAAACTTCATTGGAAGTTTTAATGTTTTGCGTCTTAATATCATCAGTAAGCTGGCATTAACAGATACATGTGGCAAAAAATAAATTTAAAACTGAGCTCCTAGCAGCGCTGCAAACCGAATCTTTGACATCTCAATCCTGCAACAAATTCTGTGTTCAGTATTGGGTGCGGGAAATGCAGTTCTACGCATTGAGGTCAACAAAACACTACTAGGCAACTGATGCGGTCTAATAAAACGCAACGTATGTTCTGCATCACCCATGATGACAAACGATAATTACCGCCATAAAAATTTGCCTTCTGCGACAGTTGCCATGACGGTATTCTAAGATCGAATATTAAAATGGTAAAAAATTAACGGCAACAATTCACCCAACTGCTGCCAGTAATTGTGACATTCTAAAACTCATACTTAAACTACCATTTTATGAGGCAATTCATGTAAAACGGACACCAGTTAAAAACTTAAGAATGTTTTTATCCATCCCTCCCAATGAATAAAGTCGTATTAATAACCAATAAGTCGTCAAACCTCATATGAAAAGGTAAAACATATAAGTAAATTTGTAATAAAGTCACTCATAAAAGGGAACAGTCCCAACCTCGCAGCACTTCCAATCAAAAAAATAAAAAAAAAAAAAAAATTAAAAAAATTAAAACACTCACAAGAACATGAATAACGGCAATCACTAATACTGGTAAAAGGTTTTCTACTTGATAAATTCTCAGCGAATGCAAATTTGCTGTGCATCGAGGCCAGTAACATCAGCATATTTCCTTGCAAATATTTCTTCCAATAATTAATTGAAAAAGTTCGACTTCTTAAATTTTTTATTTAAGAAAGACAAAAATAAATAATAAAACGTCTTATAAAACGTAACAAAAAGTATGCAAAAAAAATACGATTGCATCAAATAAAAAGGACCAGATTGGGGAAACATTAACACCGGTTATATATATACATAGCATCGAATTCTTACATGCAAATTACCTTTCTACTTTCAAAAACCAATTAAACAAATATCTTAAAAACCGATAGCTATCCGCTGATACCGACCTGCAAATGGCAAAAGAAACAAAACTTTCGGTAAACTATTTAAAATTTACTATAAAGAAAGTGATACCCTTAATTAACTGTCCTCAAAAAGAATAATCAAATTTGGGTTCCAAGTTTAGATTATTTGATAATCAAGATGGACGCAGAACTGATACTAGAAAAGATACGGTCACTTACTGGTAATGCTGGACAATATTTAAACACTGCAGCTACAAAAAACAACTATATCGTACTACTTTTTCAATAAAATCAACAAACACTTCCGTTTGAACCCAATCTAAATAATTCACTAAAAAATTCACCTCATTTCATATGATCATGGAATGAGAAAACATATGGATCTCCTTCACCAGTAAATACCGCTAATTTCAATCAAGCTATCTACGAAAAGAGAAAAATGCGCGTATTAAGCACTACACTAGCAAATAGCTGCACTAAACAAACAATAACAAATTTGAGAAACATACAACAACGGATAAACAGCAAGGCTAAGCACTTCATCATAAAGATTTAGACACACTTGTGGCTTCAGCTGCTTCACATACTCCATTTATACATAAAAATAATATTTGGTCGTTCATATAAATTTGGGCCTCATTCAGGTATACAATACACAGGTAAATGTTTCGTTTTCTGAGACAAACATAATGGACAAATCTGGTGCTCGGAAGTCTTTTATAAGCAAAGTAAAACTCCTGGTTTAAGTAAACCTAATAAGTGTCAAAAATCCATTACATCTAGTTAAAAAAAAAAAAAGGAACAACAATTAAAAATATTAAAAGCCTTCAAAGCAAAACCTAGAGATTCTTTAAAGAACAAAGACTAGTGAGGGTAACTAGCACTAATATTAAAGAAATTTATGTGTAAAACAGCTAAAAAGACTAATGAAATTAAGGACTTAATAATGAGGCTTACAACA